CGAGAGTGTGATTACTAACCAGCGGGGATCACTGGGGAACACCTTGGAGGGCAGCTGTCACAGTCTACACAGGAAAAAGTTTGGAAGAATATAAAGTTAACGGCCTCACAGTTATCTAGGGGCTTTGAGTCAAGTGTATGCATTTCATTCTCTCTGTTGATCTTTCTCATTTGTATTTTTTTTTTGAGTTGGGGGTCTCACTTTGTCACCCAGGCTGGAGTGCAGTGTCACAATCATGGCTCACTGCAGCCTTGACCTCCCGGACTCTGGCAGTACTTCCACCTCAGCCTCTCGAGTAGCTGAGGCTACAGGCACGCACCACTACACTTTGCTAATTTTTTGATTTTTTGTAGAGACGAGGTCTCACTATGTTGCCCAGGGTGGTCTCGGAACTCCTGGTCTCAAGCAATCCTCCCACCCAGGCTCCCAGGTGCTGGGATTATTGGTGTGAGCCACTGCACCTGGGAGTATTTTCTTTCTTTCTTTCTTCTTTCCTTCCTTCCTTCCTTCCTTCTTTCTTTCTTTCTTTCGTCAGAATCTTACTCTGTCACCCAGGCTGGAGTGCAGTGGCATGCTTCCAGCCACCACAGCCTCGACCTGCTGGACTCTGGCGATCCTTCTGCCTCAGCCTCCCAAGTAGCTGGAACTACAGGTGCACCACCACACCCGGCTCATTTTTAAAATTTGTTGTAGAGACGAGGTCTTGCCAAGTTGCCCAGGCTGGTCTCGAACCCCCAGACTCAGGTAATCCTCTCACCTCAGCCTCCCAAAGTGCTGGGATTACAGGCATGAGCCACTACTCCCAGCCAATTTTCTATTTTTTTTTGAGTTGGAGTTTCACTCTGTCGCCCAGACTGGTGTGCAGTGGCCGCTCCTGGCCACCGCAGCCTCAACCCACTGGGCTCTGGCGATCCTTCCACCTCAGCCTTCCAAGTAACCGGAATTACAGGTGCGCGCTACCACGCCCGGCTGATTTTTGATTTATTGTAGAGATGAGGTCTTGCTGCCCAGGCGGGTCTCGAACCCGCGAGCTCAGGCAATCCACCTCAGCCTCCCAAAGGCACGGGATTACAGGCTGAGCCACCGAGCCCAGCTTCTATTTTTTTAAATCATGAATTTGAGTTACTTGTTGTGGGTTGAGTTGTTTCCCTCCACAAAATATGTTCAAGTCTTAACCCCTAGTATCCATGAATGTGACCTTATTTGGAAATAAGGTCTTTCCAGATACATTCACGTTAAAAATGAGTTCATGCCGAGCGTGGTGGCTCACTTCTGTAACCCCAGCACTTTGGGAGGCAGAGGGCAGAGGATTGCCTGAGCCTGAGGGTTTGGGACCAGTCTGGGCAAGATGGTGAGACCTCTGTCTTTACAAAAAATCAAAAGATTAGCTGGGCATGGTGGCATGCGCCTGTAGTTCCAGCTACTTGGAAGGCTGAGGCGGAAGGATTGCTGGAGCCCGGCAGGTCGAGGCTGTGGTGGCCGTGAGTGTGCCACTGCACTCCAGCCTGGGCAACAGAGTGAGACTCTGAATAAACAAACAAACAAACAAACAAACAAAACGAGGTCGTATGGAGTAGGGTAAGCCCTCATCCCGTGACTAGTGTCCTTACATAGGAGGGAAATTTAGACAGAGACACAGACACACATGAGGGCGAATGCCAAGTGAAGAGAAGCAGAAAACGGGGTGATGTTTCTTCAAGCTGAGGAACACCGAGTATGGCCTTCACCAGGAAAAAGCAGGACGGATCTGCCCCGGGAGCCTCAACCTGCTGACAATGTTTTTTGTTTTTTGAGTCAGGATCTCACTCTGTCACCCAGCCTGGAGTGCAGTGGCACGCTCACGGCCACCACAGCCTCGACCTCCTGGGCTCAGGTGATCCCTCCACCTCAGCCTCCCGAGTAGGTAGGGTTATACAGGTGCGTGCCACCACGCCTGGCTAATTTTTAATTTTGTTTGTAGAGATGAAATCTCACTATATCACCCAGGTTGGTCTCCAGCAGTCCTCCCACCTCGGCCTCCCAAAGTGTTGGGGTTACAAGTGTTAGCCATCACACCTGGCCTGCTGACAACTTGATATCAGACTTCTAGCTTCCAGAACTGTGAAAGAATACATTTTTGTCATTTGTATTCTCAATAGCCAAATGGAGGAATAAATAAACACAGTGTGGTCCATCCACACAATGGGATATTATTTAGCCTTAAAAAGGAAGGAGGTAGGGTGCAGTGGCCGAGAGTTTGAGATCAGCCTGGGCAACATAGCAGCAAGCCCTCGTCTCTAAGACAGATTTTTAAAATAAATAAAAAATAAAAAAGGAAGGACGTTCTGACATAGACGACATAGGTGAACGTAGAGGACTTCATGTCCAATGAGATAAGCCAGTCACAAAAGGACACATTCTGTGTGATTCCACTTCTAGGGGGTCCCTAGCATCCTCAGATTCACAGAGACAGAAGGTAGCATGGTGGGTGCCGGGGTTGGGGAGGGGACAGGGAGTGAGTGTTTCATGGGGACAGATTTTCCGTTTGGAAAAAGGAGAACATTCTGGAGATGGCGGTGGTGCTGGTTGCACAACAGTGTAAATGTGCTCAATGCCAGAGAACTGTGCATTTAAAAATGGTAATTTTCTGCCGGGCACGGTGGCTCACGACTGTAATCCCAGCATTTGGGAGGCACAGGTGAGAGGATTGCCTGAGTCCATGGGTTTGAGACCAGCCTGGGCAATTTGGCGAGACCTTGTTGCTACAATAAATCAAAAAATTAGCCAGGCATGGTGGTGCATGCCCATAGTTCCAGCTACTTGGAAGGCTGAAGGATCGCCTGAGCCCAGGAGGTCGAGGCTGCAGTGGCCATGAGTGTGCCACTGCACTCCAACCTGATTGACAGAGTGAGACTCCAACTCAAAAAACAAACAAAAAGTAATTTTCATGTCATGTATAAGATTTTTTTAAAACATCTTTAAAAATTCTGTTGTCTTAAGCCACCCAGTTTGTGGCAATTTACTGTGGCAGCCCTAGGAAACTAACACACTCATGTGATTAGAAAAAAATACAGTAAACAATTAGAAGGGGCCCTTAAATATGGAACCCTTCCACCCCTGGTTTACGGGCGTGGTGACTCACACCTATAATCCCAACATTTTGGGAGGCCGAGGTGAGAGGATTGCCTGAGCCCATGGGTTCGAGACCCGCCTGGGCAACTTGGCAAGACCCCATCTCTACAATAAATCAAACAATTAGCCAGGTGTGGTGGCGCGTGCCTGTAGTTCCAGCTACTTGGAAGGCTGAGGTGGAAGGATCGCCTGAGCCCAGCAAGTCGAAGCTGCAGTGGCCGGGAGCGTGCCACTGCTCTCCAGCCTGGGTGACAGAGTGAGACGCCTACTCAAAAAAAAAAAAAAGTGCCAATTGAGACTCACAACAGTGTAGTCTCCTGGCTCTTGGAACTTTGTGACGGGAACAGATTCCATCCCCTCCCTGGGGGTTAATTAAGGTGACCCCCGCATGCCCACCCCTTTTCAGTAAAAACCACAATAAAAGAGCTTATAAAATTTATTCCTTTGTTCTTTTCCCTTGAAATAACACACACAGGCAGGGAGGTGGGACGTGATGGAGGGAGTTGTAAGTTTCTGGGAGTCCTCCAGCACCCCCAAACCCCAGTTCCTCTTTCCAAGTCCCTTAACGGCATCCCCTAATTATTCTAAGCCCAGATTCCAACTATGAAGTGTCGTTCGTATGGAGGTGGGGGAGGGAGGCTTTCCTTCTTTCTCTGGTAGAAAAATAGACCCGGAATGAGTTTTGGGATTTGACATTTATGCTTGTTTTTGCATCATCGGATGCTCGGATTTCGGGAAGGGTGGTCTGTATGGTTTTGTTCCTGGCTTCCAACTCTTAAAGCCTGGTCAGGGGGTGGCAGTGCTGGAGTGGGGCTGTTCCTTAATGTGTCTCCAGCCTCAGTTTACCTTCTTGCCAGGAATGAGTGACTGGAAACTCCAGAGGGACTCTGGGGCTCTTAGCCTATAAGGTTGGAAGAGGATGAAGACGGTGCAGGGTCGGGGGGGCAGGCAGGGGGAGTGAGGTGGTTTGTTGGAATGGTGTCCTCACAGGGCCAGGAGGGGTGGCCATGCAGAGGTTAGGGAGGGAAACCAGCGTCCATGCAGGTCGTGGGAGATGCATCTCTTCTCTCGCTGCCTGGAGATGACCCACATCGGGGCTTGGGACAGATCCCCTGGGTGTCCTGGAACTGGGGGGCGGGACCTGGGCTTCCCCGCAGGTTCCCTAGACCACGTGATCTCATGCCGTGGAGAGCGGGCTCTGGTGTGTGTCCTGGATGGGGTGCGTGGGATCCAGGACTTGCACCCCCAGGAACTAGACTTGGGGTCCAAGTAGCAGGGACCCGGTGGCTGGGGCATTCAGATCAGAAACCAGGGGCTAGGGGCTTGGAGGTCCAGTGCCTGGGAGGGGCAGGGGCTGCCTTGCATCGACGAGGGACTGGACCAAGGGACATGGAATCTAGAATCTAGAATCCAGTGGCTGCGGTTGCCAGGGTCCACTTGCTGTGCTGGTGGGCTCCCGCCTTTGTTTGTGGAGCCAGAATCCGGTGGGGCAGGGCGTGGAAATCTGGGATCCAGCGGTTGGGGGTGAAGGGTGTAGTGCTTGAAATGAAGGGATCCGACAGTCAGAGCAAAGGATCTGGGGCCCAGTGTAGAGGTAAATAAAAAAAAAATCAGGAAATCCAGTGGATGGGGTGAGAGGATCTAGGATCCAGTGGCGGGGGCCCCAGGATCTAGGCCTTGCATTGTCAGGATCCAGCGGCTGGGGTTTCTTGACATCCAGAATCCAGTGGCTGAGCTCGGAGATCCAGGGTTCGAGGCGTGGGGATTTGGGGTTGGGGATCTGGTTTCCAGTGCTGCCTGGGGACCCTGAATCTGGTGCTTGAGGGAGCCAGGATCTGGGTGGGCGTTGAGGTACAAGCGACATGTGCTCCTGAAGTTGGGGTCTCGGGATCCATTCACTGAGTTTGCGGGATCCAGTGCTTAAGACATAGAGAGGTCCAGGAGCCAGCGGGGTGGGGGGGGGCAGGAAAATGTGGGATCGACTTTGGGATGGGGAGGTTGCAGCATCCGGTGATTTGGGAGATAGAGATTAAGGGCTGGGGTGTGGATAGTCTTGGATCTTGTGGCTAGGGTATCAGCCTTGAGTTGCTGGGATCCACAGTTGGGGTTATGGAGATCTGGGATCTAGAATTGGGGTACTGGGATCTTGCGATCCCACGGGTGGGCATATGGGCCTAGGATCCAGGGTCTGGGTACTGCGATCCAGTGACCCGATGGCTGGGACATAAGGGTCTAGGATCTGGGCATTGGGATCCAGTGACCTGATGGTCAGGGCATACGAGTCTAGGATCTGGGTTCTGGGTTCTGGGATCCAGTGACTCAATGGTAGGGGCATAGGCATCTAGGATCTAGGATCTGGGTCCTGGGATCCAGTGACCCCAAAGGTTGGGGCATGTAGGTCTAGGACCCAGGATCTGGGTACCGGGATCGGTGGCTGAATGAAAGGTGGGGATCCCGTGGTTGGACCATCAGTCTCCAGCGGCTGAGCTGTGGAGGCCGTCATGATTGGGGTGAGGGAGCATGGGGAGATGGGCTCCGGGTCCCTCACCTGGACGTGACCCCCAAGGCCTGCTTCATGTTCTCGTAGACCACATAGGAGATGCTCACGGCCGGAATAACCTTCATGAAGTTGGGGGCGATGCCCCGGTAGAGGCCCCGCACGCCCTCCTGGGACAGGATGTGACGTAGCAGACCCAGCATGGACAGCTGGGGGGCACCCTCGATGGAGGCTGGGGGGGCGGGGGAGGCCAGGTAAGGCCAAAGTTCCCCTCTCACTTCCCCCTCCTACCTCCCTGGGGCCTGGCCAGATGGCTGCTGCTGCAGCAGGAGGGAAGGAGGTTAGACTAACAGTGAGACCTCCCACTCAGAGTCAGGACTTCTACTGGTCTTGGAACTGAATGCTCACCTTTCCACTCAAAGTTTAGGGGCGATTAGGAACAGAGGTGGTATGGGTGTGTGTAACGGGAGAGGACAGAAACGTCTTCTTGAAACCTAATTCTCTCCTTCTTTTCCCAGCTAACTCCTACTCGTCCTCCCAAAGCCAGCTTTTCAGGGGAGCCCTCCTCGGTGCCCCGGTCTAAGTCAGTCTCCTCCTCCTTCCCTTCATTCAACCCTAAATCAATACTTAATTGTGGAATGATTTATTTAGCATCTTTCTTCCTCTCCAGCCTGTGAGCTCTGTGAAGGTGAGGACCATGTCTGTCCGGGGCACCGACACATCCCCAGTGCAAATCATGAAATGCAAACGTCAAAATCCCCAAGGAAATCCTCTAAACAGATTCAGGGATAGTGGGAGGGTCGGGGGTGTGCCTGGGAGGGGGAGAGAATCCATCAAAGAAAAAACACGGAGGCAAACAACAAGCCGTCGGGTCCTGACCTTCCTTTACCTCGCTCCTGGCCTCCCACTCACCATAACCCAGCCTTGCAAATTACGGCTCAAGTTACCAGCCTTGGAAATGCTAGACATCTACCCAGGAGTGGCCTCCCAGCTAAGACAGCTGGGGTTCTCTTCTGGAACTTGCATCTACCTATATAATCCTCAGGGGCTCCCATGATCACGCATGGGTAAACAGGCCCAGAGGAGGACAAAGACTTGGCCAAGGTCATCCACATCCAGGAGGATCCCAGCCCAGGGCTCCACCCAGGAGGAGCTGGGGCCCCATCCCCCCGCCCAGGCCTCACCTTGGGCCTGCATGCGGGTCCGGACCAGGGCCAGGGGGTAACTGGCTATCTGGCCGCAGGTGCTGGAGATGGTCCCGCAGGCCAGGAGCACGAGGATGCCTGGGTCGGCCGAATTGTGGCTGTACTCCTGGAGCCACCAGTTTTTCAGGGTCTAGAGTGGAGAAGGGAGTAGGGAGGGTTGTGGCGGGTGACACCAGGACCCTCGCTCCCGACGCCTCCCTGGCCAGCCTGCTCTCTGTCCCGGGACAGCTGGTCCTACCTGAGGACTCAGTGCCTCCTAGCAGCTACACAGCCATCCTTACCTGCAGCCTGTCACTCAGTCCTTCCCTTGACCCTCTGTGGCAGGTGGGGTGAGGGTCCCCAGTCCTGTCTATGCCTGGGTCCCCGGAACTGGTGTCTGTGTTACGCAGCGTGACACAAAGGGCTTCGCAGATAGGATTCCGTTAAGGATTTTGGGATGGGGAGATTATCCAGGATTATCTGGGTGGCCCAATGTCATCACAAGGGCCCTTAGAAGACTCAGAAAAGTAGATGTGAAGATAGAAGCAGACATTGGGAAGAGAGAGAGAGAGAGAGAGAGAGAGAGAGAGAGAGAGAGAGAGAGAGAGAGAGAGAGAGAGAGAGATATGGAGGGAGGAGGTGTCACACTGCTGGCATTGAAGATGGAGGTGAGAACAAGAGCCAAGGACACAGGCAGCCTCTAAAACCTTTTTCTTTTCTTCCTTTCTTTATAATAATAGAGTTGGGGTCTCATTGCCCAGGCTGGTTTTGAACTTTTCTCAAGCCATCCTCCTGCCTTGACCTCCCAAAATGCTGGGATTGCAGGTGTAAGCCGCAGCGCCCAGCCGCGAGCAGCTTTTTCAAGGCAAGGAAGCAGATTCTCTTCTAGAGCCTCCAGAAGGAACACAGCCCTGATGACATCTTGATTCTATAAAGCCCAGTCAAGATCCCCAGTTTTGGGCTAGGCGCAGCAGCTGATAACCTGTAATCCTAGCATTTTGGGAAGCCAAGGCAGAAGGATTGCTTGACGGCAGGAATTCAAGGCCAACCTGGGCAACCTTGTGAGACCTCCCATCCTATTTTATTTATTTTTTTGAGTTGGGGCCTCACTCTGTCATCTAGGTTGCAGTGCAGTGGCACGATCATGGCTCACTGCAACCTCTACCTCCTGGGCTCAAGGGATCCTCCTGCCTCAATCTCCCAAGTAGCTGGGACTACAGGTGTGTGCCACCACACCCGACTAATTTTTTATTTGTGGTAGCGAGGACGTCTCGCTGTGTTGCCCAGGCTGGTCTAGAACTCCTGGACTCAATCCTCCCACCTCAGTCTCTCAAAGTACTGGGAATACAGCCATGAGCCACCGTGCCCAGATTCCGGGTTCTATTTTATTTGCTTTTTTTTTTTTTAAGACCCCCCCCATTTCAGACTTCTGACCTCCAGATCTGTAAAATCATACTTTTTTTTTTTTGAGTCAGAGTCTCACTCTGTTGCCCAGGCTGGAGTGCAGTGGCA